GGGGCTGTGGGGCTGTGGGGATGTGGGGCTGTGGCTGTGGGGCTGTGGGGCCGGGGCTGTGGGGCTGTGGGAGCAGCTGCAGGCCGGTGCTGCTTTATCCCCCTCGCTCGGGCTCCCCAGGTCCCAGCCGAGCGCTCGGGGCCCTTGGGGACAGCAGCCGGGAGCAGGGACAGCCTCGCTGGTGGCCTTGAGCAGCAGCACAGCCCCACTGCAGCCTGGCCAGGCCTGCCTCGGATGCCTTTCCTGCTGTGGGGAGCAGGACCCTGGGGAGGAACTGCCTGCACTGCAGGATGTGCGTGTTCACCGTGATTGATTTTACAGCACCTGCAGGGCACGTGCAGGCCATGGAGCCTGTGACCCACGGAGCCTGTGACCCACAGAGCCTCTGACCCACAGAGCCTCTGACCCACAGAACCTGTGACCCACACAGCCTGTGACCCACGGAGCCTGTGACCCACGGAGCCTGTAATCCATGGACCCTCTGACCCACAGAACCTGTGACCCACGGAGCCTGTGACCCACAGAACCTGTAACCCACACAGCCTGTGACCCACAGAACCTGTGACCCACAGAACCTGTAACTCACAGAGCCTCTGACCCACAGAACCTGTAATCCATGGACCCTCTGACCCACGGAGCCTGTGACCCACAGAACCTGTGACCCACAGAACCTGTGACCCACAGAACCTGTAACCCACACAGCCTGTGACCCACAAAACCTGTGACCCATGGAGCTTGTGACCCACAGAACCTGTGACCCACAGAGCCTCTGACCCACACAGCCTGTGACCCACAGAGCCTCTGACCCACAAAACCTGTGACCCACAAAACCTGTGACCCACACAGCCTGTGACCCACACAGCCTGTAACCCATGGAGCCTGTAACCCATGGAGCCTGTAACCCACAGAACCTGTAACTCACAGAGCCTCTGACCCACAGAACCTGTGACCCACAGAACCTGTAACCCACACAGCCTGTGACCCACAGAACCTGTAACTCACAGAACCTCTGACCCACAGAACCTGTGACCCACACAGCCTGTGACCCACAGAACCTGTGACCCACAGACCCTCTGTCCCACGGACCCTGTGACCCACAGACCCCCCACCCCCTCAGTGTTATATCCCCAGGAGTGTGGCAGCAAGGTCAGGGTTCCCGTAAGGCTGTCCTTGGGCAGCTGCCCCTTCACGGGTCCGTGGATGTCACAGCCTCCATCTCAGTGCCACTCTGGTGTGTCCCCAAGCTCTGCTGGGGTTCCCAGGGGAAAAAACCAAACCCCTGTCCCCCCAGAAGAGCCCCTGTGCTCAAAGGGAGCTGCTCCAGCAATGTGCAGGAGCCACAGAGTCATGGGATCCTTCAGGTGGGAAAACACCATGGAGCCCAGCTGTTCCCCCAGCACGGCCAAAGCCTCCATTAATCCCTGTC